CCTGTTGTGTTTTCCTGTGCATTCATTTCATATTGAGTCGTGCAATTCGACTCCTCGGCCATCATGCATCGAAATACGTGATTGGTGGCATGAGGATCGAGGACTATACTCCTTGAAGAATAGTAATGCATACATACGTGAAAATACTTTGCTATGCCCCTTTGTTGCTCTCTGTTGCAGCAAATCAAGAATCAGTAGCCTTCCGGAGCTTGACACGTATTCCAAGAACAATTGCAAACAGAGGCAAACCGGGGCATCACAAGGGATTTTCTGACAAAGGCAACCCGAGCATGCATCATTCATCTTCCGAAACAGAGCTGAGGTAGTCCACGAATTTGCGTGCCAATTTACTGCTTTCCTAGATTAATTTATTAATTAATTAGGGTTTTGTAATTATTTGGACTGTAATTATTTATTCGGGACTGTATTATTTATTCAGACCCTCCGAGCGAGGGCAATGTTGTGATAAGTGTGCGTGTGTGTGATGTATGTCTTCCAACCCCACGTCTTTCTCCCTTTTATTTACCAGCTTATGATGGTTAGATTAGGGCATGTTTCAATTAGCATACAGTATGATAGCATGTTTGCATTCATTCATCTGTTTTGCATGCACCGGGCTTAGCGCATCATACTAACTGCATTGTATTTCAATTCCGAGTTGAATACTTGTTAGTTGTAGCATTCCACATGCCATGTTTAGAATAGCCGAGCCTGCTATAGTTGCATTTTTGCATGTGTTGCATTAGGCATTTCTGTATATTTAGGATCATGCATGATTTCTAACATAGCTTATGTTTTGGCTTGGAGTACTCGGTAAGTTTTATGCTTTAGCATCCTTGCATGCGTGTGAGTAACTGCCATGTTAGCATGCTTACCATGAGGCTAATTACTTATGTGATATAACTGCCTGAATGCCTGTGGGTGAAGGTTGGGTTATTTGGATTGGAACAATTCATTCACTGTGAGTTTTAAGCCCACTAGATAGTGGCAAAATCATTTTTTCTAAGCCCACCCGAGGGTGGCAAAATCTACATTTTAAGCCTACTTGCGAGTAGCAAACCATCCTTCAAAAACAAACATGAAATGTTCCGTTCCAATTCAGGCGACCCGGTCTATACTTGTATGCTGTGCGCATCACATAGTAAATCTAGGCTAATAACCGGAATAAGAACGCATAATGTTTTCAAAAATAGATATCATGGTTAGTAGAGGCCGATCTTTGATCGGGCGAGAGTTGGGGTGCTCACGAAGTGACCTTCCCCAATCGTACCCAAGTCCCCGAGCCGAGGCAACTTTGGTGATGACGAACACGTGGCCTTAGGCAACGAGTCAGGGTTTCCTAAATTCCCCATAAAATATTTAGGTGGTGACTTTGTATCTGGAAAAGCAGTCCATGTTTGGCACTTCTTTCAAAAAAAATCTGTTTTCTCAAAACGATTTGCCGGATTTGGACTCTTTGGTTCAAGATTTAGAACCGTGACAAAATTTGATTCCTGAACTGTAGTGAGGCCCAATGGCACGTCTACAGTTTCTGGCGACTCTGCTGGGGATTTAGAGAACTTGACTCGAACTCATGATATCTGGTTTTGACTGCACTTATGTGTCTCTTTGCATTGCATTTGCATTGGTGCGCCTAGGACACCGTGTTTGCCATATACTATTCCTGAGCGGTTTGCCAGAGACTGCGTGCCATAAGGCTTACCGGTTACGGGCTCTGCCAGTATGGGAACACAAACCCCAGTTTTACTGGGGCACCCTTTTTGACCATTCGACCTAGTGCATATTCGAAATCCATAGTGACCATTCCAAACTAGGACAGGTTGCTTACCCGATCATAGGTTGTTTGAAACCGCTGCGTGCGTAGTGAAACCCTAGCTCTTGAAAAAATAGGACAGGGAAACCTTACCCCAACATAGGGGTGTTTTGGCTCTCACTTGTTTGTTATGTGCTTTTAGAGTGCGTCTCTATAAAAATGCATGTATCAGTCTACAAGTTTGGGCATTAGGCCTGCGGGCGCCAGTTCAGTATTGTGGGTATCAAGCCTGCGGGCATCAGTCAGTGTTTTAGAATCAGTTATCTGCGGGTACCAGATTCAGTTATTCGGGGACAGTGATTCGGGGATAATAATCAGTGTTTAAGGACAGTGTGTGTTCAGCTTACCGACCGTGTGTTGTCATGCCCGGCTGTGTGTTGTGCATTTACTTTAAGTTGTTATGCTGTCCGTTTATCTGTTTATTTATTTCCTTATTGCTTTATTTATCTTTTTACTAGGGAAGTTTTAGCACAATTGCTTCCGACCAACTAGATATTCCCCAAGCACCCTGGATAAGAGATCGCTGACTCAATCGATCTGAGGATCTGGTTGACGGACAGCCAGTGTTTCATTCTCTACCCCTAGTTATCTGACAGAGGTCGAGAAGACGTAGTGTATCCGAACAGAGGTTGCCAGAATAGTGGATTACCCCGTCAGTGAACAGTCAGATTGAGATCCCAATTGTTGCTATAGAAATAGACCTGCCAGTAGTTCAGACAGATCAGGGTAGTATGGGGACGCCGACAGGAGTTGAGGAAATGATGCGTCAGATGCAAGAAACCATGAGAGCCATGCAGCAAGACGCCGTTCGCCGGGATGAGTTTGCCAAACAACAGGCCGAGGTCATGGCCCAGCAAGCAGAATTAATCGCCAGGCTACAACAACAAACCAGAGCATCTGCTTCACACCCGGTTCCTCCCCCACCGGGAATCCCTACACCCGAGGAGGCACCAAATGTCAAGGCAGATACGAACATACCAACAGGGCCGACTCCACTCCCAATTCTGCCTCAGTTATCTAAGGCACCTACGTCTGTCAATCAACCAAACTCTCCCTTCGAGTTCGAGGTAGACCATACAGCACTAAAACTGAGCAAGCTCGAAAAGCTATTCAAAAAATCCCAGGGGGTAAAGGCTATCCCGAATATCGAGGACGGATATACCGATGTGGCTGTAACTTTGTCGGATAGATTCAAAATGCCACAGATCGATCGCTTTGATGGATCTGGTGATCCCATGGTCCACCTCCGGCTATTCTCAGATATATTACGGCCAATGGGCCTCACTAGACCCTAGAAGCTTTCGCTATTCGGCCGGACCCTGTCGGGTGTGGCCGCTATCTGGTATACAAAGTTAGAGGATGATGTCAAGCGGAGTTGGGATGAAATGGCCGAGGCCTTTGTTGCGCAATACTCTTACAACACCCAAATTGAGATTACGACTCGTGATCTCGAAACAATAAAGCAGGAGCCCAAAGAGAGTTTCTCGGATTTCGTGACCCGGTGGAGGGCGAAGGCCTCGATGATGACTTTAAGGCCCACCGATAAGGACCAGATCAAGATGATTGTGCGCAATCTTCAGCCAAAATTGATGCAAAAGATGATTGTGCTCCCCTTCCCCACCTTTTCGGATCTGCACGAGATGGGAGTACAAATTGAAGATGCAATAAAACAGGGTCTGATTGACCAAGACAGAGAACAACCCCGAAGGACTTTTAACCGCAACAACAATGTAGGCCCAAGTGGCGCTGCAACTGCAAGAACTTCGGAGGTAAACATGGTCGCCACCATTCCCCCTCCCCTTCCAAGGCCCATGGTAGCCACACCCTTTTCCGGCGCATTCGGAGGTAATACGCAGACCACCAAATACTAACCCAGAGGCCAAAGAACCTTCACCCCATTGTACATGCCCCTGTCCAAGGCTTTAGGGGTACTGATCAGGAAAGGGCATCTAAAGCCCCTGGAGCCAAGGCCATTGCCAGATCCACTTCCACCATCTCATAACCCAACCAAATACTGCGCATATCACCAACAATATGGTCATGACACTGACCAATGACCCTGTCCAAGGCTTTAGGGGTACTGATCAGGAAAGGACATCTCACTGCTGGAAATTGGATTTTTAGTGGCGTTTAAAAAACGCAGCTATATCTATCAAAAACGCCGCTAATTCTTTTAGTGGCGTTTAGTACCAAACGTCGAAGCTGCAGCCGTCGCTGTATCTTTGCGACGTTTTACAAACGCCGTGATATTAGTATAAGAGGCGTTTTAATAAACGCCGCCAAATGTCCCACTATAGACTTGCTGACGTCACCAACAATATTTAGCGACGTTGTTAAAACGCCGTGGTATCTGTTTTCAAAAAATATGACAGTTTAGAAGGCATTTGTAGAAACGCCGTCATATCCCCTTTTTTTTTTTAAATTGTACTAATTTTTATTTGATTGAATTAAAAAAAATACCTGTAGTAATACTGACATATAAAATATTAACTCTCATTCAAACAACAAAAATGAAACATTAATTCAATTTCTTATTCAATTAATATCCAACTTCCATTCAAATACCTATAATAAATATAAAATAACTAACATATAAAATAATAACTCCCATTGAAATAATAAATGAAGCATAAAATAATCACTTGACAAAAAATAAAAAGCTCAAAAACGGTTTTAGCGTTATAAACCAAACAATGAGTTTGGTCCATTTACATCCGAACTTCCAATACAATGCGCCAACATATGCTTAAAAATAAATAATTAAATTAAATTAAATTAAATGAAAAAAAAAAGAAAGAAGAAAGCACAGTCTCAATGAACTCAATATGACTGAACTGTATGTATATGATAGCCATGTAAACATAAATTAAAAAATATAATAAACGAAAGTCAACTAGTATTATCCTTCACTCCCTAATAGAAAAGAAAATCACAGACAAAATAATTTGGAACCGCAAAATTTTAAGACTTCTATGCTGATAAGGTTCCAAGAATTTAAGAGAGTCCAAGACCAAGGGGGCTATCATGGATACAGAGAAAGTACTGGCTAGCTTGTATTCAATTCTGTTATACAGAGATTTCCCATCTAAATTGTCAATCAATGGTTTTGCAAGTAATCAAAACTCAGGCTGCTGACAGTAGTAAGGGGCCTGCATGACAGTCAAATTAATTGGAATTCATTAGATTTAGATACAGAAGTTGCACGAGGAAACAACGAGGAAACAGGTGGAATAGAATTTAACTTCCATATACAAGATATGAAATTACTGATATACCTTTGAACAATGCAGTCAAAGATTAAAATGGAATTATATCATTCTAAAGTACAAAATTGAGTATATCTATTAACAACATAACCTGACATCACAATATTAGACCGTTTTCTAAACCAACTACCCAAATTTCCAAGATGTGCTCCTGTCAAAAAACCTGAGTTTAAGGTAGAAACAAAATGTAGCACTATTACAGCATTAACACATCATATAATAAGAGAAGACATAAAAATAGATGGTGATGGTCTTCATATCAAATACCAATTGAGGCCATACTCTCACAATCTGTCAACAAGTTCATTTTGGTCCAGAGTCAGTCAGCCAAACCAGACCCACTGATCCTATGTTCAAAGTATGTTTCGGAAATGACTTCAAAAAAACGCGTCTTTGATGGCTGGAATAGAGCTCAAAATTACCATAAACCTAGAAATCTAACAGAAAATTAAGAAATGATGAAGCAAAAGGTTTAAATTGAGCTCTATACATGAACATACACCTAGAACAGTGAATAAACATACATAAATACAAGATTTGAAGGTGGAGAAAAGTGAGATCGGAGATCTGTACCTCAGGCTACAAAATCTGGAGGTATATGTATGTGGGTCTGTGTAAATTTCAGAGGAAAATCGAGTGATCTGAGACTTTTTAGGACAAATAGAGAGAAGATGAACAGATCACAAAAAGTGCGGGCTCAGACATGTATGACCCTCTCTCTCTCTCTCTCTCTCATTTGTAATTTTCTGCATTGAAAGGAAATTTGTTCTCTGACACCTGTTCCTGTTGAATTGCTTGCAATAATAATATCACCTACCTCAATCTGTAAGAGGTTATAGTTAAATGTCAATCATTAACTCTTTTTATCTCAGCAGAAGAAGACTAAATAATTTCAATAATATACAACTTAAATTTTAAATTTTCATGTACCTGCCAGTAACCATTTTGTGCGATTGGGGCAAAAGTGTGGTCACCCCTGAAGTGCCTCCAATCAACACCACCAAAGACAATCTCACCTCCTATCTTTGATTTAGGATCTCGATTCAGCCATAAAGAGAAGACTTGTCGGCTCACAAGACCTTGTTTAACCATGTTGTACCTGAACTCCCAGCAAAGTCTAGTTTCAATTTCAAGCAATATAAAGAAATCAAAGGAAAGAGCCAGCTAGAGAAACACCAATTTTTTTTTTTTGGTCTATTTCTTCACTCATTTAGTAGCAAATTAGGGTGACCATGTGATGCCAAAACAGTCAAATTAACAATCAGTGACTAAAAGAACTATACCACACTGGTGAGACTTGCCCAACTGCAATGTCCTGAAACCCAAGTCCAATAATCCCATCAAATTGTGCAAGCAAGAACATAAATAATCCTTCCTTTGTAGCCTCGGTGAACACCTAAATGTCATGAAATCAATGTTGCCATGACATGAAAACAACAACAACAACAACAATAATAATAAGAATATAGTAATAACACAACATGAAATTTGATACAAACAATCATGCACTTGATCTTTGATGATAACATCTCCAACTCTCACATTATCTTGGCTGAAGAAGCCAAATATAGATCCAGAACCATAATGGATTTTGCAAGATGTTCCTATATCAGAATGGAACAAGAAACCTGATATTATGGTTCCATCAGCATGCACAACACCAGAATCTAGCTTTATTATGTATATAGGAAAAACATACAACTCTATGAGAAGTTTAACGAGTTTTTGAAAGTAATGTACCAATTTCAGTATATGTACTGGATAGCTTTGCCCTGTACTTAGAATGCATATAGCAAGCAATCTGCATGAAGTTATTGCATTATAATTTAATTTATAGATATATATATATATATATATATTACCCAAACCCAACAAGTGTTACAATTACAACACTAGGCACTCAAGTGGTAAAAAAAAAAACTCACAGAAAAGTGGCATTTCGAAGATGGCACCCAAAGATTGGAACTGCCGGTATCAAAGACAACAGCAAAGTGTTGTGGAGGTGAACCAATGCCAATCTCTCCGTAATATTGGGTGTCCATAAAATTTTTCAAATACACCACATCATCTTTTAAATTGTCAACACAATTACTATTGGAATCGTTGCCCTTACCATTGGCATGGATAACCTCTCCTCTGATAATTGCTACGCCATATATACTGTTAAGGTCCAAATCCCGTCTCTTTAGACCAATTCTCACTAACCCGTCAGAGGAAACATTGAAACCAAAGATGCAAGCCAAATCCGATAAGCAGATGATAGTTAATAGAAGGGACTGTCTTGACGAGGGAAGAAATGAAAAGTCGAGGGAAAAGTATTTGGTTAGCTTTCTCATCTAAGCAGTGAGCAAACTAGGGATATCTTCAATATACAGCTCAATTGCAGTAAACAAACAAATGCAATTAATCTCACATTTCCAACCTAATACCACCATATTAGTAATCCCATCACTCAATCCCACCGAATTCATAATCATAGTGAACCTAATCCAGATATCAAACACAGCCAAAACATTATCGATCAATGTATCAGAAATGTAGGACTGTGCCCCAGGAAAAGTGGGACGAAAGTTGAACTGCATTAAGGCATTGGATTCAAGGCAGATGACAACATTGGTTCACTTTTTATTTAAAATTTCAGGGGGGAAAAAAATTCCAAGAGTCAGAGCCATATGTAATTACATTAATTTCACCCTTCTGTCTTCTATATTTTAATATTTATTTTCACTTTTGAAGACCTAAGACTAAATGGTGACATCTAGTGAGAAAATAATACTGATGACAAAAGTTAACAACAAGAATTGACTTCAGAAAAAAGGAAGGAAAAAGAAAAAAATAATAATCAATGATTGGGAAAATAAATACATTATTCTGGTTCCACTTACCCAATTGACACCAATTCATTCAATCTCTGAAGATCCACAGGTTCCTACTGCAAACAATGCCTACAATTCCATCTCTGCCTAAAGTCACATTGCCACCATTGCCAAGTATGCCTTTGCCCACAATGCCAACAATCCCAAGCTTGCCAATGCCCACACTGCCACCATTGCCAAGCACCCAAATTCCGTCAACTTTGCCCAATCCAACACTGCCAACCATGCCTACTCTTCCTACATTGACTCTGCCACCACTGCCGGCTACTTCACTGCCCACAATCCCGACCACGATGCCTTCAATCCCAACCATCCCAACAACAATGCCTACTATTCCTTTCTTCTCACCCCCCCATCAACCGGCGAACTGTGGAAAAGTATTTAACAACCCCCTTATATCTGCCGGAGCAGTCTCAGATATATAGTCAGGGACAAGAGTAACAGCCAAACCAATTCCAAATCCATCTATTAGCCTCGCTACAAGTAGAACATAGACGTTAGGAGACCACAACATTACCAAACCACTAACAAAGTAGAACATTGACGACATTATTAGCATTGGACGCCGACCAATCAAATCTGATATGGGACCCGAGCAAGTTGTGACAAGTGTGGCTCCAATGAGTGACATGGCCACAGCAAGCCCTTCTATAGTAGTTTCCAAACTCAGGTCCTCCTTTATGTACACTATAGCCCCTGTAATGTTAAAAAAATAATAATAAATCATTATTTTTCCAGTAATGAAACATCTACACTATTACATAAAACACACAACTCAGAAGGGATTTGAAGCTTTGCACCACTTTTTTCTTTTCTCCAAAAATACCCATATTGTTAACTACTTCAGAAAAAAAAAAAACTTCTAGCAATTATCAAATTCAACCTATCTTCTTCATTTATCAAATCATCAAAAACTTTAGATTGATGCGTTTGCACTCAATGCAAATTTACTCAATATCAAGCTATCAATGGGGCTTTCCCTCCTGTCTTTCCAAGGAGGGGAATCAAACTAAGAAACAAAGAAAAGATCATAGAAAATTAAGCATCTATAGTTGAATCCACAAATCAAATTTGACTGCACAAAAATCCTACTAATTTGATTTCCATTTCATTAGATCCATTAAATAGGGAATTTGGGAACAAGGATATCAATCAACTCAGGCAAATACTAAATCTACATCATTTCCATGAGTGAATTCAAAAATGAGGAATTAGATTATTAAAATGACAAGTACCTGCAATAGTGGCATTATCCCAACCTTGCAAGAAGTTACCAATTGCAGCAGCAATAGCCACAAACGCAGCGCTCTTCATCTTTTCGACGAATTTTCCAACTAAGATAACAAATCAACCACTCTTCCAACTCTAACCCAGATCTGATACTCTTATCAGCAACCCAAATCACTGCAGAGATTAAAGTTCATGAGTTTGCATCATCAAGTCTAGTGTGTAAAATGATTAAACTTTGATCATAGTACAGAAACAACTAAAATGGGAATTCAATGACACTAAGAGCACATACTCACTGATTACCATTAATAGCTAAAGAATTTCCCACTAAGAAGGAACTAAGAAAACCAATCAACATCCACAAAAATAAAAAAACAAAAAAGAAAACTAAAAACAGAGGAAAATGCCAACCCACTACTACCTTCCAACCGGTCTAATTTCATCCAGAACCGTCTTGTCCTCTCTCCCAGTTAGATCCTCCTTTTTCTATTTTATAGGGTAAATTACGCATAGAATTTGAGATTTGATTAAAATACGAATCTTTTTTTATAATTTTAAAAATTACATTTCATCTTTGAGATTTTTAATTTCATAATAAATTATAGTTTTTATTAATAAATTATCAAGTCAATTAATAATTTTTAATGATGTTAGAAATATATTATCAAGTCAATTAACAAGAGAAATAGGCTCTATTTTGTATTCATATTAATTTCAATCTGCAATCAGAACTGGCTCCTCCAAGATTTTGAAGATATTATCACAAAATAAAGTATAAAATTGATAGATAACTAATTAAACTAACCTAAGTAAAAAGTCTCTGGAAATGCATAACCATCAGTGCTGAACATCACCTGCAAATTAAATTATAGTGAAAATGAAAATTGGTATGAAATTAATAAACAGAGAACCGAAAAATTCGAGGACTGCAGTTTACTTCCACATTGCAGAGAACTGAAAAATTCTATAAATTCCTTACCATAACAGCCATGGATCCCACTGGTTTATATGGGCATGAAATGCAAGGAATCTTCTTTATTCGTTCATAACAAATATCAGAAGTCTGCTTTAGTATATTAATGGTCTTTGTAAAGAATACATCTTCAGTTTGCTGAAGAATGCGTGGGACTGCTGCCTAGAACCACGGAAAATATTGTTAAGAAAGAGAAATGAGTGATTTAAGTCGATGGTCTTTTGAAATGAACAAAATTTGGTAGTGAAATTTGCACTTTTCCGGATGAAGTCAGAACTTCAGACATTTTAAGGTCAAGCATCCATGCTTTTGTGGGGAGAAAGAAAAAGGGAAGGGAAAAGCGAATGAAATTTAGCCAAGTGATTTGTAAAGGGAAGGGAAAAGTGGGATTTGTATATGGAAAGGGAAAAGTCAATGAATAACTTAGCTTCTATTTCATCTACTTCTCCCTTCCCTTTTCCTTAGCATTCAAATCTCTCCACAAATCCAAGATCCAAACACATATTCATGGTCTCATTGACATTGATTTAGGAAAGTGGATATATATATTTTTTCTTTTCCTTTTCCATTCTTTTGGGAAGGGTTAGAAAATGGCTGCAAGTTATAATTTTTAACTTGACCAATCCAGGAAATGCATCAACCAAATGCAAAAAATTATTTCATTTAAGAAAACAGAACAAATCCTGACTTCAATGTTTCAAAACAAGCACCCAAGGAATAAGGTACTCACCTGTATAAATGTCGAAGGACCCCCAAGAATATCAAAAAACTTCTTAAGCCGCTCAACAATCTTTTTAAAGGAAAAATAAACCATTAGCACTGGTGCAAGTAAATTTAGTGACAAAAATCAACTTTTTTTTAGCCATGACATCATCCACAAGAACTTTAATGTTTGGTTAATAAAAAAACAAATTTGTGCCCGCATGAAATAAAAATGTTTAAAGTGAGTACACCATAAAAAACCAAATACAATGAAAACAAATCCACGTCTGAATGATAATTATTAAAACAAATCATCTTGCATTTACTTTCAAGACATTGATCGACAACATAATTCAATATCGAGAATGGTAACCAACATTCATAATTAGAAAAGTACATAGAGCAAACCTTGGGATTTTTGAAGATGTCACTTGGATCATTTATCACAAACCAACCAAGTCGCCAACCAGGGACTATCAATCTCTTTGATAAAGAGCCAAGTGTGAGAATCGGACCAACCGATCCAAAGACTCCCATCAACACAAAAAGGATTAGCCCTGAAAGCAAGGTGGACATAAACTTCATCAGCAATTACAAGAATTTTCGAAAGAAAAAAAAAACAAAAAACAAATTGACTCCAATGACATCAAAAAAGTAGTGAAAATACAAACAGATGGGAAAAAAAATTTCAAATCATAAACATATTTTTTGAATGAAAAATCTCAGATCTGAAACATATGTTTTTGAATAAGAAATTTCAAATCTCAAACATATTTTTGATTGAGAAATCTCAGATCTCAAACATATATTTTTGAATGAAAAAACTCATATCTGAAATCTTAAACATATGTAAACCCTAGGAGAAGAATTGACGGAACGAAGAGCTTGAGAGAGAGAGAGAAAACGAAATTGAGATTGTAGACGGTAGTGCTCACCTTAGTCAACGATGCAGATGGTGGTGGCGGTGGAGCTTCGAAATCGAGAGAGAGAGAGAGAGAGAGAGAGAGAGAACTTCGAAGTCGAAATCACTTTAAGATTGGGTCTGAGATGAAACCGAGCCGCAGAAGGTTGAATCGTAATCTCTGAGACTGAAGGGTTTAGAGAGAGAGCGAGCGATCGAGTGAGTGAGTGAGATTTGAGGGATTGGTTTCTCTGACTCTGAATGTTTCCCAGATTCAAAATAAGGTCGCAGAGAGAGAAAGAGAGAGAGAGAGAGAGAGAGAGAGAGAAGGGTTCTGATTCTCACAGAGCTACAGAGAGAAGGGGAGGAATATTATTGTAACACACGTGAAGGCATTTTAAAAACGACTTCTATTCCTTAAACGGTACCGTTTTAATTAAAATAAAAGGTGACGTTTATAAAACGTCGTTAAAGGTTAGAAATAGTGGTGTTTATAAAAACGTCGCTAAATAAACGCCGTTAAATTCTATATTTCTTGTAGTGTCTAAAGCCCCTGGAGCCAAGGCCATTGCCAAATCCACTTCCACCCTCTCATAACCCAACCAAATACTGCGCATATCACCAACAATATGGTCATGACACTGACCAATGTTTTAGATTACGTCATGAGATTCAGGATCTCATTGACAAAAATGTGATTTTGCCGCCAGAAAAACCCAACGTCACAACCAACCCCCTCCCTATACATAATCAAGCTCCACCTCCCAAAAGAGTGAATTTCATCCAGATTGGGGTCATGCCTTACGATCCTAGCATCTATATCACCCCTTCCCACCTACCTAAGCTGGAGGTGCTCCTTCCTGATTGCACTGACTCTTTGTGCATGTTGGACATCTCTACAACCCAACCTGAGCCGATGGTGGCAGCCGTTGAAAACAGAGCAGAAGAGGTTGCAGGAGAGGACGGAGCTGTTGAATCAAGGTTTGAGCAGTTTGGGAATTTTGCTGGGGAAGCCTATGATCCGAGCGATTACATCCTGCCAGCGGGTCAGTCTGGGTCAAGTGTAGAATTGCCAAAGAGAGTAGAACTGTGTGTGATCCAGGGAGATAAATTTGAGCAGGGAACAGATGACATGGCGGCTGTAGAAGAGGACTTTGCCAACCTACAGTTTTTCGATGACCAAGAATCAAGGGGCGCAACAGTCAACTGGTTTGATTATGAGGAATCGGCAGAGGCTACTGGGTGGTTGGATGATCAACCGGATGTGGTGGAAGAGCGCCAACCAGAACAGGGCCTGGCAGGGGCAAAGGTATCAGTTGTGGCCGGAAGGGCTGGAAGTCAGAATACATTGCCGGAGAACGCTAGTACAAAGAATTTCGCTCGGGACTTGAGCATTGTGGATACAGAGAAAATTGAACAACAAACTGCACTGACACAGTCAGAACAAGAAAAGTTTTGGAATTCTGAGAGAATCAGGAAGGCAAAAGCCCGTGAAGAGGCCGAATGTGCTGTAGGCACAGGAACAGAAGATGCTGCGAGCATACGGGCTGGAGGTACTGCGGGTACAGTCATGCCGGAGCGGACAGGTGTCTGTCGGTTCCTGATGGAATATGGTGGGAAGACGATGATTTATGTCTTGCCCACACAGATGAGGATTGGGGGAGCAATCAACCAGACGACACCTGGTATCTCGATGAGGTTGATCACATGACAAGGAGCGGGCGGTATTTCAAGCCCCCACACCTGGACCAGCCAGAGGCGTCAGGGAAGGATAAAGAAGTTGAGAGACAGAAAGAGAAACAAATTGAAGAAGAAGCTGTACTGAAGCAATTAAAGAAGATACAAGCAGACATCTCCATCTAAGGACTGCTTATGGCATCACGAGTACACAGACAAGCCATCCTATCTACCATGGACAGGGCTAAACTCTCGATAGAAACCACACCAGAGCAACTGGTGCGATTAGTCTTTCCGGGAGGAGCTACCCCGATGCTGACTTTTTTTGACAAAGAACTACCACCTGAGGGTGCGAACCACAATAAGCCACTCTACATCTCTGTGGAGTGTATAAATAAATGGATACCGGTGGTTCTCATTGATACCGGATACGCCATCAACGTATGCCCAGCAAGCATAGCCTATGCCATCGGATTGAAGAACGCCGACTTTGTACCAACAGCCCAGGTGATTCGGGCATATGACAACATAAGCCGGGAAGTAATGGGGACGGTAAAAATCCAGGCCAAGGTTGGACCCGGACAACATGAGATACACTTCCACGTCTTAGAAGTCCCGGCAACCTTCAATCTGCTTTTGGGGCGGCCGTGGTTGCACCAGGTGAAGGCCGTCTCGTCCACTCTGCATCAGATGGTGAAATACCCCTATAAAATGGGAGTAGCCATTGTTTTCAGGAATTCGTCAATCCATCCACCTCGAGAGGTATCTACGCCAGTCCTAGAAATTGAGCACGGCATGGAGGACGTGTTTATGTCTGGATTTACCTTAGTTGAGGCCCGGGTTGTGCAAAACATCATGGCTATTAATGAGGGAGTACATGTCAGTGCTCAATCTGTATACCTCATGAACAAGCTTCAACATGTCCCCGGGATGGGATTAGGAAAGAGCGGCCGCAAGGGCGTCGCAGCATTGGCAGAAGTGCCACACAACCCCCATACCATTGGCTTGGGTTATCTGCCCACCAAAGAGGATTGGGTGAGGAAGGGTAAAGAGATGGCTGGGAGAGCAAGAGCAAAGAAGGCAGGGAAGCCTTTTGAGTTAATGCATCGACCCATTCAGGGTACCCTGAACGGACGCTTCGTCCGGGAGGGGGAGGACTTTCCATTCTGTGGCTTCCCAGAGTCGTGGCTGAACGCGGAGAGGAAGTGCGTGCCTGGTTTTGAGATCTTCTTCGACCTGCAACTATCCGGGGATGATGTTGCCGAAGAGCAGACAGGCCCATTGGTTGAGGCTGAGCAGAGCAAGAAAGTACAGTCTGAAGACACCGAACTTGAGATAGGGGTAGCACTGCCGTGTCTACTTTCAGATCCTCCGATCGACCAGGAGTGCTTGGGGGATAACTTCTCGGTATGCGTGATCGGGAATGGAACGGCTGCGGGCCCACCAGCAACTATTTTGGATGCATCTATTGCACCCTCTCTCATTTGGCATTATGAAGAGGGATTTCTGTCCAGCAGCACCGAGTCGGGTAGTGAGCCGGAATCTAATTCCACCGAGTCTTGTGAGTCGGAATCAGGTTCCAGCTCGACTGAGTCTGAGTTTGCTATTCCAGGGGATGATAACCCGGATACCACAGTCCTATCTAGGTCGTCTTTTTCTTTCTCTTTTGAGTCTGTTGTAACTGAAGAATCGGACGATTTGGATGTACTTAATGAGAATGCTGTGGCTGTGGTTTCTGAGTACTTTTCTGTGCCCTTGATTTATTGCATTAACTCAGACTTTCAAAATTTTGATGAAAACGACGAGGAAGAAATTCCTCCGGTTTTGCAATGCTTAATTGAACAAGAGCAGGAGAGGTTTGTTAAACCCTTAATGGATGAAATCACTACCGTGAACATTGGTACTGAGGAGGACCCGCGGCTGGTCCAGATCGGGTCCACGTTGTCTTCAGAGGAACGCGAGCGCTTAGTCACTTTATTAAAAGATTTCAAAGATGTTTTCGCGTGGTCCTACGAAGACATGCCTGGAATCGATCCTGAGATTGTACAGCACTGGATCCCTCTTGACCCTGAGGCCCGACCCATCAAACAAAAACTCAGAAGGATCCGCCCGGACTGGGCCCTCAAGATTAAGGAAGAGGTCACCAAGCAAATCGACGCAGGGTTCCTGCTGGTATCCGAATACCCGACTTGGTTGGCCAATATTGTTCCGGTGCCGAAGAAAGATGGCAGGATTAGGGTGTGCGTGGCTTTCAGGGATTTGAACAGAGCTAGTCCGAAGGAGGACTTTCCCTTACCGCATATCGATGCGTTGGTGGATTTCACAGCGGGGCATGCTTTGCTTTCATTCATGGATGGCTTCTCAGGATACAATCAGATAGTGATGGCACCAGAACACCGGGAAAAGACTGCCTTCACCACCCCGTGGGGGACATACTGCTACAGAGTGATGCTGTTTGGGTTGAAGAATGCTGGAGCTACATATCAATGGGCCGCGACCACGATATTGCACGACAAGATCCACAAAGAGGTTGAGGTGTACGTGGACGACATGATTGTCAAGTCCAAGGAAAGAGAGGGCCACTACAC